TTCGCCACAAGTGTGCACTTTCTCCCCCTCCCCCCAACACAGTACTGGCGGGGGGGGGGGTCCCTCACCCTCCTGGTCCCTCACACTCCTGCCGTAGCTCTGCCTGTCAGTCTATGATTGCCTCTAAAAGGAGCCTCCTTAATAGAAAAATCAATTTCACTTCGAAATATTCCAAACAAAGGCAGAAACTCTGAAAGAAAATGTTGAGATACTGGTGACCTAAAAATGAAAAATGTAGATATATTTGGGGGAAAAATCCCTCCAGTATTAGCATAAAGGGAAAGCAAAATATTGGGGACCAAGTAAGCTGGTTAAGGGAGTGGCTGCCTTTCCTAAGAACGCAGCCGGTGAGGGCAGAGACAACATCACAGCCTCCCAGCTACTGCTGTTTCCAGTATTCAACTATTTCATTGATTCATTCATTCACTCATTCATTCAAAAAACGTGTGGTGAGTGCCTAGCGCTGGGGATATACGAGGGCCTGTCAAAAAGTTCATGAAAAATTGAATTAATAGACGGGGTTATTTTGGTGCAAATGAGGGGTCTTCAAAAGTTCATGGAAACACATATTTTGAAAAAACTGCATATGGATTTAAAGATATTTTTGCACAAAAACCAATGGGTTTTTCAATTTCATTTCCCCAGAAATTTTTTGAAATACTCTGAGGACGTGGAAAAATAGAAATGGCCCCTGCCCTCCTGGGCGCTCACAGTCCAGGGCACGTGACAGTCACCAAATGATCCCACTGAGGAGTGCCTGAGGAGCCTGAAAGGCAAACTGGAACCACGTGCAGTGTAAGAGACGGGTTCGAGGAGCTGGTGCTGTGACATGGCAGGATAAGCCTCCACCTGCTACACCAACATCCCATATGGGCACAGGTTTGTGTCCTGGCTGCTCCACTTCCCATCCAGCTCTCTGCTAATGGCCTAGGAAAGCAGGAGAAGATGGCCCAAGTGTTTGGGCCCCTGCACCCACCTGGGAGACCCAGAAGAAGATCCTGGCTCCTGACTTCGGATTGGCCCACCTCTGGCCATTGCGGCCATTTGGGAAGTGAACCAGTGGATGGAAGACTTTTCTCTGTCTCTTCCTCTCTCCATCTATATTTGCCTCTCAAATAAATAAATAAATATTAAAAAAACGGAGAGAGATGTGCTTGAGCTGGTTTAAACTAATAATATGAAAGTACTTCCAAAAATTTGTGTAAAAATGTAATTATAAGATGCTGATTTTGGGGGCCAGTGCTGTAGCAAAGTGGGTAAAGCCGCTGCCTGCAGTGGTGGCATCCCATACAGGTGCCAGTTTGAGTCTTGGCTGCTCCTCTTCCAATCCAGCTCTCTGCTATGGCCTGGGAAAGCAGTGGAAGATGGCCCAAGTCCTTGAGTCCCTGCAGTGGCATGAGAGACCCAGAAGCAGCTCTGGCTCCTGGCTTCAGATTGGCCCAGCTCCAGCCGTTGCAGCCGTCTGGGGAGAGAACCAGCGGATGGAAGACCTCTCTCTCTCTCTCTCTGTCTCTGCCTGTCTGTAACTCTGTCTTCAAATAAATAAATAAATCTTTTTTTAAAGATGCTTATTTTGGTGCAAAACTTTTGAAATTCCTGCATTTTTTTCAATAAGACCCATTTCCTGGGAAGCTTAAGAAGACCCACTGTATGGTTGGTTTGGGCCAGTGTGGACCATTTTGCCAAAATCAGCCCAGATCCTGTGATGTCTTGAAAACCACACATGCTGTTAGGATTACTGGCCTGTTCTGAGCCATGTTGAGGTGGTTTGGGTACTCCCTTACTCTCCTGTGTTCTTATTGTCTTCCTGCACGTGTGTGGGTCTGCGAGTGTATTGACAACACCTGCCTCCGACTTCCTGGACGCTAAATTCAGCCAGGGCAGGACAACTGCCCACACTTGTTTCTTGCTATAGTTTGACTACGGTTTGCTCCACTGGCACTCACGTGAGGCTCGGTTTCATTTCTCCATGTGATGGTGCGGGGAGGCCGTGGGCCCTTTAAGAGGAATTAGGTCCTGGGAGCGCCACTGTTAGAGTGGGGTTAATGTGGTGTCCATGAGAGTGGGTTGTAATAAAGTGAGTCTGGGGCCCCCTGTGGGTCTGTCTCACACACGAGCTCTTGCACGTGTGCCCATGGCTCTCTTCTACTTCCCACAACAGGCCCTCACCAGAAGCCTAGCAGGTGCCAGCGCCAAGCCCCTGGATGCCTGAACAGTTATCCCAATAGACCGCTTTTCCTTGTAACTCATCCAGCCCCAAGTGTTCTTGGATATTTATGGTGTCATTCATGGGGCACACAAGATTATCAACTTAAAACTTAGCCTGCTGTGGATGCATTAAACTTTGAGTCTCACCTGCGGCTGCCTTGGGAGAGCCAGCTCACGTGATCTTGCTGGCCCTATATGGCTGGACATTCCCCACCCCGGCAGCAGAACACAGAGTGAGGGAGTTCTGCAGGCAGGTGAGCGACAGTCAGTTTGTTCCTGGAAGGTTCTGGATTCTGATATCTCTTTCTCCAGGAAGGGGACACGAGGATGTCCTATGGGGTTATGGAAACCTTCGGTCACTCACTGGGGGCTGGCCTGGATGGGAAACTGCCAGGAAGTTAACAGCCAATGACACCTGAGGAAGGGTCCCTTGTAGGCCCAGGTGTCTCCATCACATACAGGGCCCCATGGGCAGCTGAGCCTACTGACTGGGTCTAATTTTATTGCCTGTCCTAGAGGCCGACCCAGGCCTTTTCCATGCAGCCCAGAGTACCTGTGCAATAAAGCAGGCTGGAAGTGTGTCTGCAGTAGGCATGGTCTGCAATGGTCTACACCAGACAGTATCTGGACACCGTGGGCAGCTATGGCTTGCTGCTCAAGTATCCCATGTGCTTGAGCCCGGTTCCCGCAATGTTTGAATTTTGATGAAATTTTTGGCCCCTGGTTCTCCAAAAATGTCCCCAGGGAGAGTTTTTCCTTAATGGGCCACAGGTGACTCTGGTTCCTGGCCTGGCTCCAGCCTCATACTGTGCATGCTGCCTCTGCCTGCTCCCAGCTTCAGCCTCACTGGTCCTGGGCTCCCCTGAGCCCACCCCTGGCACCTGCACGAGCTGTTCGTCCCATCTGGGCCCTGGCCTCCCTCCTCCCCAGCCCCCAGCCCCCAGCCCCCAGCCCCCAAGCCCCTGACCTGGTTGGCTCCCTGTCATTCTGCAGCTCACTGTTCCAGGACCACTTACTTCCCCGGGAAGCTTCCTGGTGCCCTGTGCCAGGCACTTTCATCTGTAATTCATGCTCCTAGCCTGTCTCTGGTCATGGTTTACGATCAGACATTTTTGTGGGTAAGTGATTATTTTATTAATGTCTGAAAAACAGCACTATCAACTTAATCTTTTCGTGTGTCCAACCAGATAGTATCACCCAGTAGAGGGTTTTATCCTTGGCACCAGGCGCTGTTGACATGTGAGGCTGGGTGAGTGTCTGTGCTGGGCCTGCCCTGTGCACTGTGGGCTGTTAACCAGTACACTCAGCCTCTCCTCACCAGATGCCAGGAGCCCTCTTCAGTGAGAACTACCAGAAATGTCTCCGGACTGGGTCAAAACTCACCGGGGAGTGGGGTGCAAAATCACCCCTGGTTTGGAGCTTCTAACTTAAATGCCTACAAGCCCCACTGCTGAAGCCCCAGTCTTTCTTGCTTAGTCCTGTCCAACAGAAGTAGGTATGAAAGTACAATAGGAACCGCAATCTCCCGGCTGCAGCATCAAATGAAATGCATTTCAGTAATCTATGTTGTTTAACCTAATATATACCCCAAAGCATGTGATCAATATACAATTGTTATTAATCAGATTTTTTACATTCATGTTAGGTTCCAAGGCATTAAAATCTGGTGTGTATTTTTCTCAGTCTGGACTAGTCACATGTCTCATGCTCAGTAGCCACACGGGCCAGCGGCTGGCAGGTGACACAAGAGTGGGAAGGTAGAACTGAGCCTGGCCTGGCCACCGCTTGGGTCAGCACCAGATTGTACCCCAACCCTCATCAGAGACGTGCAAGGTTCTCCGTTGCCCACTGGGCACCACAGGTTACAGCGGGTCCCCTAGCACCTCACAGAGTGAACAGACTGGAGGGCAGGTCCCGCTCAGGACAGCCATCCGGGCTGCTTAAGGCGTGCCACTGAGATCGGGTGCCCACTGGGGGTCTGCAGGAAGCTGGAGGGCCCCTGCTGCAAACACGTGACAAGACACACACTGTTTCCCAGCACCCACCACCACGAAAGACCCCTCCTCATCTTCACGGCTCACAAGGGAGACTTAGCTCTCCCAACCCCAGCCACCTGAAAAGACATATTCCATTTCCCTAACAGTGATACGCTCTTCTAAAAGGACTCTTGCCTTGGGCAAGTAGTTGCTGTCCAGGAAGGTGATGTCCCCAGCCCTATGCAGGCCTCAGGCCTGGGTCACCCTGCTGGGACAAAGGCAGCTGGCACAGTGCCGGAACTCCCCCTGGGTCTCTGACTCTCTCCTGCATCCACCCCCTCCTGGCTCCAGGTTTTCTAGTTTCCAGGGCCTTCTCCCGGCAGAAATGCCTGCGTGCCCCCACCCCCGCCCCAGCCTGCCTGGGGGACCCTCCCCAGACGCTGCTCCCCAGCTGCAGAATAAAGCCACCCCGTAAGGACCACTCTGGTACTGGCCGCTGGGTTGATCTGGGGGCACTTCCTTGACGTGAAAGAAGCCAAGTTTCCCCAGAGCTGCCACCTAATCACCTGGAGCAGCCCAGGCCTCCGGAAAACTTGCAGGGCGAGACAGCCACCGCCCTTCTGCAGCCTCGGCTTGAGCCCCCCACAGCCCCCAGTCTCCCTGAGAGCTCCCCAGTCCTGAGGATGCTCGCTCACTCTTCAGCGGCCGTGGTCCCGGCACGCCCGCCCCAGGGGACACCCGGCGGGACAGTGCGCGCGCGCCTTTGCCAAGGGGGCACATGCGATGCCGGGAGAAACCCCGGGAAGTTGGACTTACCCCTCCGGGCCTGCCTGATCTTTGGGCTCAGCATGTTTCTGCAACCGCCTAGCCGGACTCGCGGGGCCAATCATGCTGTCATGCACTCGCCTTTCTCTTCCTCTCACCCGGGCGCCCCTCGCGCCCCGCGCGCTCGGCTCCCTCTCCTGGCTCCGGACGGACGGCTTGCCTCGGACTACGCACAGCTCGATACATTATTTATCCATCACAGAATTAATTCCCATCCAAGCGGACCATGAAAGCCTCGGGAGTCACTGCCGATCAATCACTGGGCCAGGGCGGGGCAGGCCGGCAGCCGCTCCGCCCAGCAGGGGCGCACGCGGCTTGGTCGGCTCGGCGCTGAGCCTGGCGTGCAGGGGCGGGGCCGAGAGGGAGCCGAGGGCAGTGGTCCCTGTCCTGGGTTGTCCTCAGGCTCGAGTCGTGTAGGGAGGGCCTGTTTCGGGGAGTGTAAGCCGGCTTGGAGAATTCTGGAGGCCAGAGGCGCCCAGCCCTGCGCCCTGCCAAGTCCCCAGTGGGAGAGCGCTCTTGCGAGGGGTGGGGGTGGGGGCTCACTGTCTAAGTGTTGAAAGACAGGTGTGTCAGGAGCCAGCAGGCGCTGGATCCTCAGGGCAGGGGCCCAGCGGGAAGATGCCTGTTAGGAATATTCACTGTTTATGCCTCCTTAGTAAGAAGACAGCAGGAACAGCGAGTGTGAAGCACTTCAGGACCCTGCACACAGTAGGCTCTCAAAAACCATTCCCTGCCTTGGATAGCGAATCTCCCGATTGACACGGATCTGTTTCACACAAGCATGATTCTCAGGGGTGTATACGGGGGCTTTTGTAGGGTCCGGCAGTAAGAGCCTAAAAATTGCCCGACGAATGCAGCCTCAGTGTCCGTGACTTAGGAGGCACCCACTGTGTGTGTCCGGCGCTGAGGTTGCTGCTTCCAGCCCATAGCTCACTGAAGCCTCAGACCTCTGCGGCAGGTGCTGGTAGAACGACTTTCCCAGGGGGACTCCGAGGCACAGCACTGCTGAATCACTTGCCCTCAGTTACCTGGCACTGGGTGGCATCTGAACCCAGGTGTGGCTCTTGCTTTTCTGTGGTGCCAGTTTCTCGAAAGGCTCCGGTTCTGAGCACTCTTTAACAGTCCCTGGCCTGAGAGCTCCCGGTGGGCCTGGACGGTGCCCCCCTACCACCACCACTGTGCCTCTCGTGGTCACCCGAGTGCTCCCTTAGGCATCTGAGGCCAGGGCGGGTTGCTTGGGCCTAACAACTACGGGACCCTCTTGGCAGCTGGCGGAGACGGGCTCGAGCGATCACCTCGCTGGTCTAGCCCTCTGCGACCCTCAGAATGCCCCCCATCCGCTGGTTCCCGCGTGGCCACTGAAGCACACCCAGCGCCAGCCCCTGCAGGGGATGAGAGGCCCCAGGCAGAGCTCAGCAGCAGCCTTGTTGGGAACGAGAGTCTGGACGATGCAGTGGAGGGGAGGGTTGGGGGTAAGGAGGATGTGGTGAGCCCCTTGGCCAGGTTGATGGGAAAACACAGGAGGCAAAGCTTCCTCAACTTCTTCTGGCCCTCAGCTACTCCCCAGGGGGATGAGTGGGTACCATGATGTAGCGTTCAGGTCCTTGCATGGTCCCACCCGTGTCTGCCCCTCTGACCCATCTCACACGACCATACGCAGCCTGTGCCTCAGGGACGTTGCACATGCAGCCTCTGCTCCTGCTCCTGTGTGTCCCTGTGCCTTTGCCTCTGCAGCCTGTGCCCCGTGTGCCTCAGTGCTGTGTGGCTCAGTACTGCAGCCCAGCAGCAGGAGTCGCTAGCACTTCCCCTCAGCCCTGCACTGTATCGCTTAGGCGGCCCCCTCTAGCGCTCCCAGCCCTGCGCCCAGGCTGTCGAAGGCCGAGAGGAATCCAGGCTCCACCGGCAGCTCCAAGAAACACCACTGAGTGACAGGCTGATCCCCTTCTCCTTTAGGGCCAGGTGCAGGCCCGGTCAGCCTGGGACAGAGGCTACCCAGGAGTGGGAAGACAGTGAGCTGGATAGCCTCGTGTGGACAGCAGGTCACAGGGTGAGTCCCGTGGCCTGGGACAGCTTCTTGAGCAATCAGAGAGCCATCTGTGAGTAATGTAGCCAGGACCACTTTCTCCAAGTCAGAGAGTGCCCCGGGCCCTTAGCCTGGGTCCACTCCTGCTTGTTTGGGTTGAGAAACCACCTCCGGGCTCTTTTCCTGTGCAGCTGTTTCCCCTGAGGACATGAAGTCACTGCACTCTCTTGCCTGCTTTCTGGGGATCACAGTTGGAACTGAACAAAACCACAGGCTCCGGGCTCAAACCCAGAAGCCAAGCTGGGGAGAGGGCAGCGGCCAATCCTGAGTCTGCACTGGAGCAGGGTGGGGGCCGGGGGCGGGTGGGCAAACTCGCTCTTTCCTCACTCCGTGCCCCAGTACTGCACAGGGCCCAGCTGCACGGGCCACCAGAGCCCCCTGCATCCTAGGGGCTCCCCTAGATCCCTCTGGGGCTGCCGGAGGGAGACTGAGGGTGGGAATGAGAGCAGGATGATGCGACCCCCACACTTAGAAGTGGGACACCAAGACCCAGGAGGGGAGGTACAGGTCTACGGGAGCTGGAGAGACAGAGACGGCCCCTTCCCCACTGCCTTGGCTTCTCCAGCTGTGGTCCTGAGGTTGCCTTCGGTTTCCTGCCTCAAATCATTCAGCATTTTCAGGCTGGGGCAGGCTCCAAAGGCTATGGAGGAGGGGAAGACCTCTCCTGAGGGCATTTGCTGATGCCCCCCACCAAAACCCACCAGCCCCAACCAGGATGCTTCCAGCACAGTGGTTCTCAACTTTGGCTGTACTTTGGGGAGCCTTGGCAATGAAAGCGTGGCCATCCCTCGAGGCTCTGGGTTCACTGCTCTGGGCGGCCAGCAGGAGTTATGAACACTCATCTGGGGCCTGGATGTTTATCCTGCATCCCACACTGGAGTGCTTGGGTTGGACGGCTCTGGCTCCTAGCTCCAGCTCCCCAACAATGCCAGCCCCGGGAGGCAGCAGTGACAGCTCAGGTAGTTGGGATCCTGTCACCCACCTGGGAGACCTGGACTGCATTCCCAGCTCCTGGGTCCCTCCCTGGCTCAGACAGAGCCCTTGCAGGCATTTGGGGAGTGAACAGTGCATGGCAGTGCTTGCTGTTTCTCTCTTGCTCTCTTTCTCTCCCTCCGCTGCTCTGTTTCTCCTTCTCTCAAATTAATAAATTAAAAAATCAAAAGGAAAGGCCGGCACTGTGGTATAGAAGGTTAAGCCTTCTGTCTGCAGTGCTGGCTCTCTGCTAATGGCCTGGGAAAGCACTAGAGGATGGCCCAAATGCTTGGGCCCCTCTACACATGTGGCAGACCTGGAAGAAGCTCCTGGCTCCTGGCTTTGGATTGCTCCAGCTCCAGCTACTGCAGCTATCTAGGGAGTGAACTAGTGGATGGAAGACCTCTCTCTCTCTCCCTCCCTTTCAAATAAATAAATAGATGAATAAATCTTTAAAAAATAATTTGACCGGCGCTGCAGCTCACTAGGCTAATCCTCTGTCTCTGGCACCAGCACACCGGGTTCTAGTCCCGGTCGGGGCACCGGATTCTGTCCCGGTTGCCCCTCTTCCAGGCCAGCTCTCTGCTGTGGCCAGGGAGTGCAGTGGAGGATGGCCCAAGTCCTTGGGCCCTGCACCCCATGGGAGACCAGGAGAAGTACCTGGCTCCTGCCTTCGGATCAGTGCGGTGCGCCGGCCACAGTGCACCGGCCGCAGCGGACATTGAGGGGTGAACCAACGGAAAAGGAAGACCTTTCTCTCTGTCTCTCTCTCTGTCCACTCTGCCTGTCAAAAAAAAATAATAAATCTTTAAAACATAAATCTTTAAAAAATAAATCTTTAAAAAATAAAATAAAACAGCCCTCTGGTGACCCAGTGTGTGGCCAGGTTGGAGAGCCATTGCTTTGGAAGACGGCGGCACTTCCCTGGGCCCAGAGTCTCCAGAGGTGGCCTTTGCCACTGCCACCCCGAGGGAGCCTTGTCAGTGAGTGGCACGTCTGACAATTAGCCTCCCAGAGAGAACGTTAGCCCAAGCCCCGGTGGGAGACACCTCCATTCCACACAGGGCCCCCGGTGCTGTTGTTCAGTCTGTGCACTGCCCAAAGGTGTCCAGAAGAGGGAGTGAGGGGATTGGGTTTGGCCTCTACTGGTGAAGCCAGGCTTTCTAGCAGGGAGAGGTGGGAGGGGATCTGCAGCCAGCAGGGCCAGCTTTTTCTCTAATTTGCACAGAGCTGCCGCGAGATAATGGAGCCCTGTCTCTCTGTTCTGAAGCTACAGGGAGGGTGGAGCAGGCTTCCCTGAGGGTAAAGGGGAAACACCTGATACCTGGCCGTGCTAGGCCTGCCCAGGGGTCACTAACACCAGTGTCCCCTGCCTGCCAGCACGCCACTGCCCAGACCCCTAGCATGTTGCCCACAGTCTCCAGGGCAGCTCCCACCCCTGCAGTTTCTCCTGCTGCCCTTCCCAGCGGCTGCTGGTCCAGCTAGCTGGGGCCTGTTGCCTTCAGAGCTGGTTGTTAAATTTGTAGGAATTTTGCAAGCCAGCTGTTTAACGAGGACATTGTTAGCAATTACAAGTCAGGGGGCAGGGCTGGCATGTGTGGTGCTGGGGTTAAGCTGCTGCCTGCAACAGGCATCCCATATCAGACTAACGATCCAGCGCCCTGCTAACGCACCTGGGAAGGCAGTGCAAGATGGCCCATGTACTTGGACCCCTGCCATCACGTGGGAGACCCAGATGGAGTTCCAGGTTCCTGGCTTTGGCCTGGCCCAGCCCCAGCCGTTGTGGACATTTTGGGGAGTGAATCAGTGGATGTAAGATCTTTCTCTGTCTCTGTCTCTCTCTTTCAAAGAAATAACTCTTAAAAAAACAAAAGCAACAACAGCAACAAAAAGACAGGGCAGGTCATTTGGCCTTGAGGTTAAGAGCCTGGTTAAGACATCTGTGTCCCGTAGCCACATGCCTGGATTTGAGCATTTTCCTGCTAATTCGCCCATTGAGAGAAAACAGTAATGGCTCAAGTAGTTGGGTCCCTGCCACCCACATGGGAGACCTGGATTGAGTTCCAGGTTTCTGGTTTTAGCCTTGGCCCAACCCTGGCCATTGCAGGCATTTGGATAGTGAATAATAATAACAATAATAATAATAAAGAAATTAAATGATGTAAATTTGTGATTAAATTTATGTTTAAAACAAAGGCAATGGAGCTGGTGTGATGGCAAAGCTGGTTACGCCATCTGCTGAGACACTGGCATCCAATATCGTAGAGTTCTGGTTGCTCTGCTTATGATCCAGCCCCCTGCTGATGCTCCTGGAACAGCAGTGGGACACGGCCCCCGAGTGCTTGGGCCTTTGCCATCCATGTAGGAGACCAGAATGAAGTTCAGGCTGCTGGCTTTAGCCTGGCCCTGTCCCAGCCGTTGTGGCCACTGGGGGAGTGAATCAGTGAATGGAAAATCTGTGTGTGTGTATGTGTCTCTCTGTCTCTTGGTCTCAAGCACTCTGCCTTTCAAATAAAATAAAGCAAACCTTAAAAAAAAAAAAAAAAGGAAGAAAACAAAGGCAATGCAGACTTAAAATTCATCCCTTCCCCATCATTTCGCTCCATCTTGGGGATTAAGGTGACTGGCGCCCGTCGTGTCGACACGGTCAACACTGGGCTGTCCCAGCACAGCTCTTCCCTGTGCACATTTTGTGGGGCTGTGCTGGCAGTCTGCAGTGGACCATGGTGCAAATATTCACACACACGAAAACTGGAAATGCTGTAAGTCAGCGCTTCACGATTTCTTCCTTTCTGGGAGCCTGTTCTTGGGCATTTGCCGGCCCATTCTCGCCACGTCTGTGCCCTGGTCACTGCTGACTCTGCGCTCTGGGCAGGCCATGCTCACTCTCCCCTTCTTCCTGGGAATGCACACGTACCCTACCCGTCCTGCCTTCGCACAGTGTGTTGTGACTGCATCCTGGCCACTATGCAGGAGCGAAAGTGATGTGGCCACTTCTAGGCTGGGCCCACAGGACTCCGGCTTCTGACGCCCACTGCGAGCTCACTTCCCTTTTCTGGTGAACTGAGGTGGGGCTGCCTCGGAAGTCCCACGGAGGAGACGGTGAAGTGCCCGCAGGCTGAGCCCTCATGGTGAACCTGAACACACTGTGCTGCATGGAGGGAGAAGCAGAAGTCCACAGTGCTGAGCCGTCCCACAGCTGGTTCTCTTTGTCTCTACAGGTGACCTTCCTTTCTATTTTTTAAAGATTTATTTTATTTATTTGAGAGAGAGTGTTACAGACACAGAGACACAGAGAGGGAGAGACAGAAAGAGAGGTTTTCCATCTGCTGGTTTACTCCCCAGATGGCCACAATGGTCGGAGCTGCACTGATCCAAAGCCAGGAGCCAGGAGCTTCTTCTGTGTCTCCCATGGGGGTGCAGGGGCCCAAGCACTTGGGCCATCTTCTGCTGCTTTTCCAGGCTGTTAGCAGAGAACTGGATAGGAAGTGGAGCAGCCTGGACTCGAACTGGCACCCAAATGGGATGCTGACACTGCAAGCAGAGATTTAACCTACTATGCCACAGCGCCAGCCCCTACAGGCTGACCATTCCACTGGACATGCTGGCTCCCTCCACCAGCTGTGGACTGGTCTGCTCCAGTGAGCAGGCCCCTCTCCTGCTTACTATCCCCAGCCTCAGTTCTGGTGCTGTGGGCCTAAAGTTTGTCTCCTCCCTTGAGCTACCGCTGCTGTGTCCCAGAGTGTGCATTAGCAGGAAGCACGGCACGAACTGGGAGCAGAGCTGGAACCAGAATGGAGACTCCGATACGGGATGCAGGCATCCCAAGAGGTGTGTTAACCCCTGTGCAAAAGGCCCTGCTCTCCCCTCACTTTTAATTTCAATTCTGTCCACACTGCAGTCCATGGTACACTCTCTCACCCAAAAGGAATCCGGAGCCCTGGATTCCCACTTTTTTGTGGTCTTTAGCGTGTTGGGCTCCTGGGCAGAAGGAAAAAGATGCAGACTCCAGAATTAGGCACTGGAAACCACTCAGATGCAAGAGAGTTTGTTTGCGAAGCCCCGTGGTTGTGACCCGTGTCCTTGGGTGTGAGTGCCAGAGTCCTGCGGCCCTGGGCTGGGGGAGAGGTGGCTTAGAGGCACTGAGCTGGCTCAGACACCACAACCATAAGCTTCCATCCAACCTCCATGAGCTGACAGTCACAGCTGACGTCCTGGCAGTGTTTCGTGTGTGCCTAGTGGAGGAAAGAGTGCTGTTCCAGCTGGGTTCTGGGGACAGATGCTGAGAGCTTGGTTAGAGATTCCCACCTGTTCCCGAAAGGGAGGGGATGCTGGGGCAGGGAGGGGAGCGTCAGAACACCCTGCAAACCTGCCAGCACCTCTGCCAGCCCCCTGGGGGCTCGGAGCGCACGACGAGTTGGAAGGAACTTGCTGTGGGGGCAGGAGGTCAGGCCTGGGAACTGTGGCCTTGCTCAGCTCATTGACTGGGAGCCTCCCCAAAAGACCATGACCTTGGCCACCACCATCTTGCACAATCCTTGGCCTGCAGCCTTCTCAGGATGAGCTTGACCTTGGCTGCCACCGTCTTGCATAGTCACTGGCTGGGGTCCACCCAAGAAGAATGTGAAGTTGGCTGGGAAGCTGAGGCTCACCCTGAAAGAGTGGACAGCTGGAGGTGGCCCGCTGACCCCGCTCCTGCAGCTGGGCACTGAGTCTTTTCTCGACGGGGGTTTGAAGCAGCCCAGCTCCACTCCTGGGTGCTTGACAGCTGCTGGCCCTCATCTGAAGCCTCTGCTCACCTGGGAACCTCTGCTCCACTCAGACGACTGCCTGGATTCTGCACTGAGCTGAGTGGCTTATGAGAAAAGATTTTTTCAGCTGCAAAGCCTTGCAGTAGGTTTCTCAGCAAGGGAGCTTGTGTTAGACCGTGTGTGGAGCCCACGGTAGCACAGACCCTGCCCGAGCATGTGGCCTTCCCACAGGGTGCCTTGGGGCTGAGACCCTGACCTCACCAGAAAAGCAGTCGTGTTTCTGGGCCCCGGGAACATGATGCTCTGAGGCTCCAAGGAGCTGTCACCTTCCTGGAAGCAGGGGTGAGGAGTGGGAGGAGAAGGGGGCATGCCAGCATCAGCTACCCCTGCCTCATTGGCCACCCCTGCCCTGACAGGGTCCAACCAAGAAGAGGGTTTCCAGTGACTTCCTTCCCTGAAACCCTGACAAAGAACAGAATTCAGCAAGTGATAAATCACCCTTTGGGTTAGATGTGCACAGCTGAGAAACAAGGCTTCTCCCCTGTGAGAACACCTGCTGGGTGGGGAAAGGCAGGGATGGGAACAGATGGGAAAGTGGAAATTTCCCAGGCGCCTTTCCTCAC